ATAGATGATCCCTTCAGGATCAGTGGTGAGAGTGGCGATACCGGTAGGGTGGGGTAGAAATGTACTCCATTTAAAAATAAAAAACAATCTAAGAGTTCAAAGATCTGACATAATACTCCACTTAGTAAGTGGAGGTGGCATTATTTCTATTTAACAGAGGAAGAAACCGAATCCCCAAATTTTATAACAAAAATAGAGATTTCAGTCCTTCTGCTCCCTTGTGCAGAGATGGGCTGCACTTAGTTGGACTCTTGGTAAATATGATGTCCTTTTAGTAATAAGCCATACTGGTAAGACTTTATCCTGCTTTAAAGTAGATTCCTATTTTCTGTTTTACCCCTAGGTCCCTAGGCTCTAAGACAGTCACCAGTTCTGTCTTGTGGGCCCTGTGCAGAGCCTCAAGAAGTGACTCACACAATGAGCTGTGTGTTAAGAGTGAAGGATGATGATCAGGGCTTGGGGCGAGCATCAGTTTGTCCTACTGTGGTGAATTGCATATTGCTCTGCTTCTGGCAGCAATAGCACCTGTTTATCACATCATAGGAAGGTCAACCCTGGTTTCAAGTTTCAGTGGAGCTTCTAGACCAGGGCTGGGGAATGTCCAGCCTACAGGCTGTATAAAGCCAGTGAAATTGTCAACATGTGCTAAAGTCATACGCCTCACCAAAGAGAGTAAGTTCCAGCCATCGTATTAGGGGTGAGTTAATTATATGTTGGACTAGTATGGCCCTTGAATGATATGATAGATAAATCCAAATGGTCCGTGGCAGCGATAAGGTTCCTCCCCATCCCTCTATCAGCCCCCATATTCATTCAGCCTACGGCTTCCTTTTCAGGAAAAAAAAAATCACTCATCTCGCATTCTACTCCCCATCCCCCACAATTAAAACACATTTGTAGTACAGCTCATGATACAGGATAAAGTATATGTATCTGCTTTTACAGTCCCTCGCATTCCGGATCATTTCAGTGCCTCCAAGGGCAAAGGCTGGGGCAGTATCATCCACTATGGGAAACACCGTTAGACTATGACAGACTGGGGCAGAAAGGCCTGGTGACCTAACACTCAATGGAAACCCTCAGGATCACAACAGAATCTTGCATGGTTCAGTGATGAGCCCACAAGGTTGGAAGGCAACAATGGACGCACGTGTGCCTGCAATCGTGAGCATGGCATGAGACCAAGCGGTGTTTCGTTCTGTGGTCCATGGGGGTCTCCATGAATCAGAACTGACTTGATGGTAACTAACAGCAGAAGTTGCAGAGCTGATTAGAAACCTGATGGACCATCGAAGAGCTAGTGTGGCCATCGGGCTTGGAGTGTTCGCTTGTCAGCAAAGCAGGATTTCTTTCAGAACCTCGGTTCCCCAAGGTACTTACTTACCCCAACCAAGCAAGATTGAGGCATACACTCTCTGAGTCACACACAGTGGGTTATTAAGGATTCAAACTCAATGCCATCAAGTCAGTTCAGACTCACGGTGACCCTACAGGACAGAGGAGAGCCAACTTCGTGAGTTTCTGAGACTGGGAATCTTTAGGGGAGTGGAAAGCCTGCTCTTCTTCCTGAGGAGCGGCTGGTGGTTTCACCCTTGCCATTAGCAGCCTAACTCATAACCCACGAATGCTACTGGGGCTCCTTCATTAAATACCTGGCAGGGAAAAAGTCATCTAAAATCAGTCATCGTCGGGGGTTTGTCTTTCCATACTCACCTTATGATTCCTCCCGTGCTTATCCAACAGGGAAATGATGGACTTGATGTGACCTTCTGCTATCAGGTTTAAGGCTTCTGGGCTCTCAATCAAGATGCAGTGCAAAACTTCCAAGATGCCTACGCGAATACCACAAAATCCATTTAGATATTAAAAAGCCTGCAGAACCCACAGAATGAAAAGGCCATCCTGAGGGGAACAACATATCCTCATCTTTAATCTAGGAACCATTTCCAATTAGAAGAAAGATACAGTCATCGGGTAGACTCGAGGAGTCTCTGGGGGCCAACCAGCATGTAGTTTAGGGTTGAACTTAATTTAGAGCGAACTGCATCTCTGTCCCCTTTCTAATGTCTCAATGAAGAAGGGCAGCTGTGAAATGGAATTCATTATATGATCTAACCCACTTAAATTAAAAATGAATGTGAAACTGATACACCGTTTACAGTGAGTTCTAAACGTGACTCAAGTTATTTAGAAACTATTGCAGGTATATCCTGAATGAGATAATTTCTCCCGGGAACCACCGGTAAATTATTTTTGGGTAACTGTATACCAAATAAACTGTAAGTTCCCTAAAGAAAGACTTTTTGGTTTTGCTACCTCTTCTTGGCACACTGGATCATTTTCTGTCTTAAGTGATGAACGAACTAACTGGTCACCCCTATGACCTGGCACATCCAAGGGACATCACAGTGAAAATCTAGAGGGACTTGGCTGATACCTTCATTGGTGTCACAGAGGATAATCCCTCTTATATCCATGTTTCTATAGGGTTTCATAAATGGCCTTAAGATCTAATCCAGTGGATGGGAAGAGGCACTAAAGAAGAGACAGCATTCAGAAAGCATATGTGCATGTGAATGGCCCATCAAGGACCCTTCCTGTGGTCTGGCTTTGAAAGCATCTGCCATCTTGAGACCACGAGAAAACGACTCAAACCATTGCATGGTCTAGGAGAGGACCACAGCTATCATGTTCCCTCTGCGTGGTCACAACTCCTCAATGACGACAATGCCTGGCGGGCGTTCTCCTGAGGGTGAGTCATCAACAAAGGCTACAGACATGATGACCCAGGCAGGGTGGCTCGAGCTGGGGATCGTCCTTCTGTTCCAGGCCACAGACAGACGCGTCAACACTGCCTCTAACTGAGGGTCGGGAGTATGACTCAGAGAGCTTAGAGACCCATAGAATAAGGGTACAGTGCAGGTAGAAGGCTGCCCCTATCGTGGGATGTGGGTGCAGCGACATGGAGGATGGTGGGCTTGGAGGATCCAGTGACGGTGAAAGGACAGGGTACAAATTCACACAGGAAAAGGGTGGTTAGGACCTGGGTTAGGGCCGCCAAATAAAGCCGAAGAGATGGCAGGGGGCTTTAGGACTTTCTTTTTTGTTGAATTAATTGCTTGACCATTGTCTGCAGTCCAGAGGAAAAGATAAATTAAAAAAAAATCAATCTTTCTTTCTTTTTTACAGTAAGGACAGACGAAAGCACATACCACCTTCTCCAGTTAAAAGTTCATGGTCAATTCTTACCTGAGGAAGATTCTAGTCTGTCCAATTTACTGATTAGCCAATCAAGGTTGTTGGAAAATTGAGCACAGTTGTTCCTGTTTCCACGAATGAGAGCAGCTAGAAGCAAGGACACATCAGATTATGTAGGTTACAGATGCAGCGACAGTGCCGGGCCTCGAACTAGGGAAACTGTGAAATACTTGGCCTGCGTAGAAACTAAAAGCAATTGAGTGACAGTCTTCCCTCTTCCTAACCATTCCTATATTTAAAACGAAAGTTCAATCCCCATTGTGGCCCTACAGGACAGAGCAAGCCACCAAATCCCACTGCCATCAAGTCGAGTCCTGATTGTGGTGACACCATAGGGGTTTTCTGAGACTGTCAATGTTGAAGTGCTGACCTCCCTTAGCAGCCCAATGCCGAACCCACAGGGTCAATAGCACTGCTTTAAGACAACGCAGAACCTCTCAAGAGAGTTCTAGAGGTTTCAAATCTACAGAGGCATACTGTGGAGCAACGGCTGGTTTCAACCCCCATCTGTTAGCCGCCCAGCACTTCAATCACTATCCCACCAGGGCTCCTATCCCACGAGTGACTCAAAAATGTGTCCAAGAATGTTATCATCTATATAGTCCATTTTCCCAGAACTTTCTGAAGTCCCTCTCTTATTGAGAGGAGTAGAAAACCACTAAGTCATGAAACAAGTATTTCTGCTTAGATGCCAAACTGCTATGTGCCAAGCACTCGTCTAGTTACTAGCAATAGAGTGGAGAGGACAGCCGGCAGATTCCCTCGTCTTCAAACTTAGTCATGAGCACAGGGCAGAGACAGGAACCACGGACACGAATAAAACTGCTTTGGAGAGTGACAAGCAAGAGAATACTATCTGCTTGGATATGGACTGACGAGGTCAACTTCCCACAATGCTTTCTGAAATATAACTAGAGATGTGCTGTTTCTCAGTGTTTTGGGCAGGCATCCAGATGAACACAGGTGGGTAAACTAATGAGTAGGTGAAACTAAACAGGCCAGGCTAAAATATTTAAAACCCACCAACAGACGCCGGTCGTTCTGGAAGTGTGGTCCCTGGACCGGGAAGATTCACATAACCTCAGAATGTATGAGAAATGCAAATGTTTGGGCCTCATCCCACATCTACTGACTCAAATGCC